GTTCCATGTATCGGTTTAGTTTAAATACATCTAAAAAATTAAGCTATGCTGATGAAGATCAGGAAACCGGAACTGATTATTTCTTTCTAATCTTTCAATAAAGAGAGACTAGATTCAAGGACCAGTGAACAGAGCTCTTGGAGGTTTTGTATTTCTTTGGGTTTATGGTGATGCCCTTCATCCTTGATACTTTTATATTATAAAATTAGTTTTAATACATGACAGCTGAATTTCTGCACATATATAATTCTCTCTGGATTGGAGTAAATTCAGATCCCCTGCTGTTTTATTTTTACTACTATGAATGGTATTGAAGGAGTGGAGTTATTGGGGAGGGGCACAAAGAGAGATGACAGAGGGAAAACTTAGGTAATGTGTTAAGTTTCATTTGAATAGGAAGAAGTGAAGTGATTAGATTAGTGGTTAGTTTCTTGCAGCTGGTAAGAGGGAGGAAGACAACTTAGTAACCTCTGATATATTCTGCTCTCCCTTCCTCTCAAGTGTTACTTGTCTGGGTTAACTAATATAATAACTCCTTACTTCTGTAGCAACCTAAAGCACAAGGTGCTTGTTGCTGAGGAAAGTTGTTTTGGCATTATGATTCCCTGTGGCTATAAGTGCCCCACTGTGCTCTAGTTATCAGGAACTGCTTCTGGGTTAAGCTTATTTGAAGGGAATTAGAACCTGTGCAGGGTTTGGTCATGTGGCAGACGCAATAGCTACACCCTTCTCTCTGATGCAAGCCACAGTGCAAATGTTTCCCAACAGCTGATACTGACGTTTTTGAAGACCTCTTCAGGTCAAATGCACTGGATTTCATAAGAGATTAAAGTTACAAGCAGTTTTCAAAGGGAAATGAGGTGGCTGCTTGATTTGGGGTTGGCAAAATACTTTTTTTCCTCATTTCATACAAGGGACAACCTGAGACTAGAGACTTGTGGTAGCAGTTGGAATTGGGTTTGTTAGTTACTGTTGTATGAGCTGAAGCCTTTTAAATCATACACTACAGAAACTTTGTCTTAAACCAGACCTTTCAAAATTACAAATGGGTGGGAATTGCTCAGACAAGAACTTGCCTTTTAGGAAGTGAAATTTTAGAGATGACAGAAACCTATTTAACCAATGTCTGTATCCAGTAGGAGATTTCTTCCAGCAGATACGTATTCAGTTTAAAGAGAATTAGATGCTGTGTAATGAACTTCCAAGCAAGAAGGTTATGATTAAACTAGGCTGCTAACTCTGAGTCTCTTGTAGTAAGAACCTTGCTAACCTAGTTGCTAGCCTAACTTTGCACTTTGTATAGTTTTAACGCACACACACCCTGGATAATGCTGGAAGGTTAAAACTGTCTTTAAAAAAAACCCTTCTGAATGCACTCCTCATAATGAATTGAGCCATTTGTTTGCTGTTGTGTAACATTTTGACAGTGTCTCTGAGAAATGATTATAAAGTCTGCACCATAAGCCAATAGACTTACACTGAAAAGGATGTTAACTTTGTTTTGTTCACAGGAAGTAAAATGTTAAGTTTGTCTATAAACATTGTTCATAATAGTCATTGCTTCTGAAAAAGCCTTTCTGTGTCTGGTGATTTGATAAATGGGTCTCTAATCTGAGAAAACAGTTTGCAGGAGTGATGCTTTCATGTAAACAGCTTTATATAACACATAGTATGAACTAAGGTCTATTACCTGAGATTTCCAGATTCTTTTGAAGTAGTTCACCCTGAAGAGGAAAGATTTACTTTTCCCATTAATTTAGGACTTTTTTAAATGTCCAGCTCACAAAGATCCAGTGTATACTGGCAGTGTTGGGAGACCATTTCTATATCACGTTCCATGTAGTTTTGTTCCAGTTCCCATTTGCTGCCTTGTAGAGCTGTTATATTTGTTACAGGAGGGTGCCATGGGGCAATGTCAGCAGACAGCCTGGATTTGGAAAGCTGAATCTTCTACTGTCAGTTTGCTGCATCTGTCACTGGTGCAGTTTCCTAGTAGAAGAGGACTAGAGGGGAGGCTTTCCCTGCTGCTGCCCAGATGTTTTCCAGTTAAATGCCACCTGTTTTTACAGAAGAAAGTTGTCTCTAAATCTGTGCAGGGAAATTACTGTAGTAACTGCTGCCTACTGTGTGTATTTTGCTTAAGATGATAGGAAGTGATCTTTAGCCTTGCTTTTTAGCAAAGCTGTATGACATCTTATGCCCCTGTTATAAGCATCATTGAGTTGAGCCTCAGTACTACATCACTAACTTATTTGAAAAGGCAGGCCGGGAGCTTTATTTTCTTAAGTATGTTCTTAATTAGTATTTCTACCTTTTTTTTTTTTTCCTTTAAGTCTGAGTAAGGCTTCTAAGTAGGAAAAATGTGGATTTCTTTTACCTGATACAGGTAAGGTTCTGTTTCTGGCTGTGCATGCCAGATAAATGACTGCTGTCTGTCTCCTGGTCTGCTGGTTGAATGCCTGTGTAACCTTCCCTAACCTGTGCTGGTCAAAAGAAGTTAACCTGGGAATGATCTACTGCACAAACTATTTCAAGCTAATTTATTAATTTTTGGCTGAAATATGCCGCCGGGTAGCACTGTTGATGAAACTCAGTCAGAGAGGGGATTGCGCTCCTAAGCCATAGAAGAGAGGGTGCTGCCTTTACATGCTGGTCATTCATACTGACAGGACTGTTGTGTATATGTGCATCTTAGTTATGGAACTATACTGTGTGTTCATACTCAGATTGCACCTTTATCTCCCTGATATCTTTCACGCTCCTGTAACAGAAATAGACTATTCAGGCCTGCTGTTTTGTTTCTCTCACTTCAAAAAGGGAAAGGGATCTCCTCTTAAGCTAGAGTGCTGATGGAGCTGACTTGTATGGATTTGGTTGTTATAAATTTTCTGTGTTATAAATTATGTGCTGATAATTGACTAATGGATCAAACAGAATATATTTTTCATTTGAATGTAATTTCTGTTACAGCTTGAAAGCGTGAACAAAAGACTTTTGATCACATTTAATTTCATATTATTTAGTTACTAGCAAAATGTCTGTAGTGTTTACTCTGTAAGTACTGTATGGTACACTTTCATTTTAAAAGAACTTCAATTCTGGCTAGACTTAATCTGTTTGACTGACAAATGGCATGGATGCTGTGCTTTCTAATGAATGTAAGGAAGCTGGCTTTTCTATCTGCCCACAGCTTTCTCTAGCTTTCAGGACTTGCATCTACAGTCTTTTAAAAGGCCCCATATATTCTTCATCTTAACTTTCTGTGTGGATTTAGAAAGCTGTTCATTTATAAGTGTTAGTATCTTATTGCCCCTACTACAAAGAAAGTAAGAGGATATTGCTTGGTCAGGTACATCATAAAATCTTTCACTGATTGCCAAATAACAGCAAGATCCACGACATTGCACTGCACTATAGCACGTCTGTTCATTGAGCAATTTCTGTGTTGTGCAAAATAATGTAGTTGAAAAAGTTTAAGTTTTTTATTTCTTAAATCAAAACTACATGCAAGCAGACAGATGAAATGGAAAACAATTTAGGTCTTTAAGTTTTGGACTAATATCTGAGAGTGTAAATAGAAGCTAAGAGAATACGTCAATAATTAATAATTTGACATGAACTATTTTTCTTTGTTTGGTAAGCATTAAGACAAAAGTGCATGTTGATTTCATCTCTCTACTATCTGATCAAACAAAAAAAATGTGCACGGGTGCATACACACTTCTAATCAGTTTGGGATACATGGTTTAACCACGTACTATGAATTTTTTTTGTCTGTATACTGTCTATTCACTAAGCTTTCCCTTTGCCCTAAGGTCATTTAATCTTAGTTTTCAAAACACTAGGCACAATTAAAACAAATAGTAGGAAGAGAAGATATTAATGTTTGAGTATTGGATTAGCGTGTACTTCTGAAATTAACAGGCTATCAGATAGCCTTTGGATAGTTGACTGAAAACATTCCTTATCACCCTGGGAAACTTGAGCTGTCCTCTGCAAGCACATAACAGTGGGCCTAAAGAAGAGGGACGCACAAAGCTGAGAAAAGAAACTGCTACAAGGTTTATGAACCCTAAGATAGTAACAAAATAGTAGATATAAAGAAGATAGTAACAAAACCTGAAGGCATCTCATGTCTTTAACAGAGATTAGGCTTTTCTATAAAAATAATTAGAGGAAGTTATAAAAGTACTATGTGTACAAAAAGTGGACAAGATCACAGAATTTTGGACCCCAAAATTCTGTCCATCTATCTCTACCATAGCCACATGTCAAGGTATATGAACCTGATGTGATCCTAGGAAACTAATGGCTTTTTTTATTCAGAAGGTGAACCAAGTCTTTTTGCCCTACAATGGGAACAGGGAGGATGGCAGGGTAAAGTAGAAAGAAATTCTTGAACACTTGATACTTCTCTAAACACACTTGCTAGAATCTGCTATGTGTGGCCTGCCTTGAAAGTTTTATCCAATTCTTTAAAGTGCAATGAAAGATGGCATGGTTGGGTCTTTGTTTTACACTGATCTGAAGATGGAGCTTCGTGATACAATTGCCTGGATTTTTTTGGGCCTTGAAAATGGAAAATAACTGTTAGGACTTGGATGTAGTTAGTGAAACGTGTAGTCCTAAGCATCTTTGAGCAGCTGAGCTCATTTAAGGCTGTATACTACCTAAATGGGAAGGAAGATGGCAATACAAACTGTAATTTTTCATGTTAAAAATGGCCAAGAAATAATTTAAAAAAACCCCAAACTGTTTTTCTAAGTGACTTTTTATGACTGGCATAGTTTAACTTATCACTAAATTAAAGTGATAATGTTGTCTTAAGCTTTCTAATCTAGAAAGCTGTGCCAGTTTGCAAGGGCATGCAAAGAGTCAAATGGATCCATTCCCTTCCTGTTGTTCCTTTCATACTTTCCCAACTGATTTTCTCATTTTGAACATTTTTCTGGGAACTTACCTAAGTAACTCACTTTCTCCTTTTGCTGCTGTGTTCCCAGGATGCCAAGTGCATGACTTTGGAGATTTGGATTTCACTCAAGTTCCCAACGATGAACTGTACAACAACCTGGTTTTGTATCCTCGGTCGGTGGGTTTGGCCAGCCAGGTACTGGCTGATGCTGTCAGCAGAGCAGTAGCTGCTGGACACAGATGTGTGACTCTAGGAGGTGATCACAGGTGAGCTGAACTAAAAGCAAGTAGTGGTTCATGCTGCAGATTGACATTTGAAGTGTAAGAATTTAATTAAAAATTAAGGGGACTTACAATTTGGGGTAATTTCCTTGCAATACCATAGGGTATGGGCTTTTAGGGGGGAACATAGAAGACAGTTACAAAAACCTGACCTTCTAAGACAGTTCTGCTTAGTTCTAGACTGGTCAGTGATCTGCAGACATACAAATGAGATTTTCGTGTTTGGGAAGGTTTGTGTCATCAGGTTTCTTTATAGCAACTGCTTTAGTTTCTTTACTGTTGAATGTTTTGTGACATCTCTTGCCCATCAGCTCTTAGGATAGGTTTGTAATGCCTGCACGCAGACAATTTTGTCATAGATCTTATAACATGTGAATCTTTTTCCTCTTTTTCACTAACCTTTGGCCTGAGAATTGGTTGAAGAAGGTAGGGCATGTAAGAATGAATTGTGGGTGGAGGTGTCATGACTACAATGAAAAATGGGTGAATAGCAGACTAGATTTTCTAGATTATTTGGATCTAGAGCAGGTGAAAATTAAGAGTGTGGGAAGGCTGACAGCAGAGAGAGCTAAGAGCTCTCTCTTAGCAGAGAGAGCTAAGAGTATAGTCCCGTAGAGTTACTTGGGAGTCTCCTGGAATCACGATAGTGGCATGCCATGCAGTTTGTATGGGATGCACCCTTAATTGTCACACCTGTCTGATGTATGCAAACATGACAATATGGCTGACTGAAGTTGCAGAGACTTCCCATTGTCCTTGCAGTTGTTCTGAAGGAGAAATGGTGACTAAAGACTTTGCTACTGTACTTCCAGCTTGGCACTTGGTTCCGTCAGTGGCCATGCACAGCAGTGCCCACACCTTGGAGTGATCTGGGTGGATGCACATGCTGATATCAACACGCCTCTCACAACTCAGTCTGGAAGCCTCCATGGACAACCTCTCTCATTTCTCTTGAGAGAGCTTCAAGATAAAGTAAGTGTCCTGGTTGTACAGTCAGCCTGTATGGCATCCTCATAACATTTTACCATTTCTGGTGTGAGGTACTTTCTTACCTGCTGCAAATGCAGACCTTTTCTATCTGAGCACAACAAAAACCGTGTATTGTTGTGTGTGTACATGTGCACATGCGTGCACACATACACACAAGTGCCATACACACATATAAATACAGATACACACACTTAAAAACAAGAATGAGAAAAAGCTTTCTTGTATGTTGGGCCCCCTTGTGGGCTGTACAGTGAGCCAGAGTTCACACCAGCTGTATGCAGCAGCTGACTGTGGCGTTGCTTCTACAGAATGAGTGGGGTTGTCGCCCAGGCTGGGCATGGCAGCACTGCTACCAAATGAGCAGGAACCTCCCCCCCAGGCCAGCCTGTGAGAGCTGTGCTGAGCTCACCTCCAGTGACAGCTGGTTCCTGTATATCTGGCACACTGCTTTTGCTTAGTTTGGCTCCTCCATGTTTTGACAACCTTGGGGCCTGACAAGGGCGACTCCTGCATGATCTAGTCCCTGGTGTTGTCTCCACTGGCAAATATTACAAATCAGAACAGCTGTACCTGCTTACAGTGTGCTTTTAAAGAGATAGTCTTGGAAAGAGGTCAAATTTATCAAAAAGAGCTGTTTACTGGGACACATGGAATGTGCATGGCCTGTTTTTGCTGCTGTCAAGATGCTTAACAGTAGGCTGACCTGTGGCCTGTGAACCCTTCCTGGCTTGGCTGTATTGCCCTGTTCAGGAACCTACAGCATCTACTGAAGACGTGGTAGTGGCAGCCGAAGCCTTTGCAGTAGGGACTTAAATACAACAATCTGCTTCTGCTGAAGCTTAGGCTGGAGAGTGGGAGCAGGATCAGCAACTGCATATTGAGAACGGATGCTGGAGCTGCAGAAAACCTGGCCACTTTATTCTGGCATTCTGCATTGCTAGTTATTACTGTTAGATTTCTCTTTTCTCTCTGATAAATTTGGGGGTGCTGTGTTGCTGAAAGTATGCCTCTTCCAAACAAGATCAAGCATGTTTAAAATCTTTATGGCTACTAAAGATACTGCTGTGTTAGTACCTGTTCAGCATGGCAATACTGCAGTTGTATGGTAAAGCTCTCCTGCTCTTCTCCTGCAAATTCTTTTGAATGATTTCCATCCACAAGTCACTTGGTGTTTTTACATACTTTCCTCTTTCTAGTAATTCTTGTGTGGTCTATACAATTTGGAATTCCCAAAGTAATGCAAAATTAATGGGGCTTTTTGGAATACAATAGGCTTTTTGGAATACACAAGGTTAATATAAAAGCTTACTGTATTTCTAGTTTCTTGCCCATAAGTTTAAATGGGGTGATTTTTTTTCTTTTTGGCAACTATAGTCACTTTTGCAGGAGACAAAGGAAGAGCAAGAGAAAATTTTGTGAATTTTAGAGCTCACCTAAGGTGAACAGTTTGGTGAGAACAGAACAAAACTGTTCTCTGATAGCTGAAGAAAGAGGAGAAATTGGCTTCCTCTGTATCCATTACTGATCTCTGGTGTGCTGAGCTCCAGTTCTTGAGCAACACAGAAAAGCAGTAATTTCTTTTTATATTTCCCCTGGACCCCCAACATGCTAAAAGATTACTATGAGCTTTCTGGGGTCAGTGGGGGAGCAGGACTCTTGCCAGTGGCAGCAGTAAACAAAGAGTAAGATTGGGCTATGCTTAGAGACAAGCTACTCAGGCATGGTGCTGGTTCTGATATCTCGTCACAAGTCCACCTATATTCTAGCAGTCAGGATGCTGTGCAGAAGCATCTGACACAAGCTCCTTGACCTGGGTGTGCAGTTACACAAACGTGTGTGCACTCAGGGGGTTTTCTTACCCTCTTTAGAGGAAGGAAAACCAACATATATCCTGCTGGTACCACAAGGATTCCACAACAATATAAATTTTTAAACAACTGTTTAGCAGTAGCAGAATGTGCCTCAGCTTGTCTGGTCAATCATTTGCCGACAGTCTGCCCAATAGTTTGCCTGGCTAATACTTGCCTTGACTTTCTGGAGCGAACCATGATATGTGTGCACAAGTGCATGTGGCTCACTCTCTCACTCTCATGTAGTAGAGCAGCTAAGTCGATAATGGGACAAAAAAATTGACTGTCCTCCTTTCCTGACTGCTTCAGGGCTCCTGGAACCATTCAAACTCACAAACTGCTATTAATACCTTACCATGAAAATGCCTGCACCTTTGGTTTTACTACCAGCAACTCCTTTTCTACTGCAACAAAGCAAAAACATAGCCTGCCAAAGGCAGTTAAGGCAGTTTTATTTATGTACAGTCAAAGAGGTGTACTTAAAATTGGCAGTATTAAATCTGCTGAATCATTGACACTAGAGAGTATCTGACAATATTATCAATACTATGCTCAGTTTATGGTATGGTGATGGGTTTTGTGGTTGTTCATTTTGGAAACCTGTATTATTTTTCGTAGCGGTCTCCATTTATCCCTCTTCTGAATTCATTGCCCCAGAGTAACAAATACTTTCACATAATCTGTGCCAGTTTAATCCCAATGTAACTAAATATAGCTATGTGTGGGTTAGCCTTCAAAAACAAATCCAATATTGTAACTAGAATAAAATTAGTAATTGAGAAGTATAAGAGGGAAACAAAACCGCCTTGCTGTGTGACAGCTGTGTTGGCTGTAGCCATTTTCAGAGCTGGGAGAAGAAGAGAAACATGAGTTAATTTAAAGCACTCCTAAACTTAGTAGATATTACTAACTGAACGATTTCTATATTGCATAACATGACTACTTAATTACCAAAGCTGAAAAATTGTGATCTCGTAATCTTTCAGTTGCTGTCCTAGATCTGCTCTCTTCAGTTCTGTATTAAAACCAGTATGATGTAGCCCACTGTGGAGGCCCAACATCTTGTCCTGCTCTTTTTTTTAATCTTTTTTGTTTTTAACTTCTTACTTTGAATTTGTCCATTCTTAATAGTGGTTTTGGAACAAAGTTTCCATGACTTTGGTGGTTCTCCTAAAAACATACAGGTGCCTTGGTTTTCATTTTTCCATTTAAGCCTGATATACTGGGTAAGTTACACATCACTGCCATTAAATGCACTGGGTAAGTGATCTGCATCTGGGTATCTAGTTTCTTATCATTCCCCCTTACACTCACTGATGATAATTACTTACTGCTTGTGGATTTGAGCTTTTTATTTCTCCTCCTCTTCAAACTGGAGAATGTAGAAGAGTTAAAAACTTCATCCATTAACATGCAACTCAGGTAAAGTTGTACCACTTTACCTGAGTTGAAAGTAAGGACTGATTACATCAGGATGCCACTCTCAAGTTTCTCTGTTTAGACAGAGAAAGGATGTTATAAATAAATACCAAGTTCTGAGGGAAGCATTAAATACAGTTTTGTTGTATATGTCATTAAACTAACGTAATACCAAACCATTGCTTTCAGGTACCACAACTTCCTGGCTTTTCCTGGATAAAGCCCTGTCTTTCAGCATCTGATATTGTGTACATTGGTTTGAGGGATGTGGATCCTGCTGAATAGTAAGTTGGTTTAGATTAAAGAGTTTTTTGTAAAGGCTGAAGTCATGAGCTTGAAATCATGTTCACAAGCATTGCTAGATTTAAGCTTAGACTGGTAACAATTGTTTTTAAAAAATTATTTTAACAGCTATATTTTGAAGAAGTATGACATCCAGTATTTTTCCATGAGGGATATTGATCGCCTTGGAATTCGGAAAGTTATGGAAAGAACATTTGAACAACTGATGGGCAGGTAACAAACTATTATCTGATTTAAACTACTCTTGTTGAATATCTACTTTCCTGAAAGTTATTTAAGTGAAAGTCACTTGATGTCAGGCAGCTGTACAGAACTGTGACAATGTCCAGTAAATTGCAAAGTCTTTAGTCCTCGACTTCCACATCTTGGACTGCAACCATTTTGCAGTGTTTGGCAAAAAGCTGTGAGACAGGTTACATTAGTGAGTACAGTTGGGGCTCTGTTTTATACGTTTTGGTTCTGTTTTTTAAGGAATTCTGAGTTTTTCTACAGTTTGATGTTTGAATCAACTCAGAGTCCAGGATACCCATTACACTTTAAAAAATAATATAGCAACTTGACAGTAACTCAAATTCAGCTGTTAGCGCGTGAGGTGGAAGCATTTAAAGGTGTCCTCCTTTGACTGTGCTCACCCATGCTGTCCTGGTGGTGGCTGGTAAAGTTCACTGTAACCACTCCCTTACTGCAGTTCACTACTGCTGTCTTTGCTAACCTTGTTCAAGTTTGGGGAACCCAGTCAGGGAGCATATCATAATAGTCTAGGAACAGGGAGAGGGTCAGAGTTAGGGTAACCTCTCACCACAGGTTAGGACCTGTGCTGCATGCTGTTGTTTTCTAAAGGTGTGCTCACCTTTCCTAGCTGCAGCTGTGCCAAGTAAAAAAGATGCTAATCCAGATGCTTCTCCCTACTGAGCATCTGCAGTAAGTTGGAAGTACAGGCTATCACTTAAATAACTCATGACAAACAGTGTCCAATTTATTAAGCTGTCATCAGTTGGCAGACTTGATATAGTAAGTAACTAACATTTTAGGTTAAAAATTATCCTTTATTTCTTCATCAACTAGGCTACATGGTATGGTTTGGAGGCAGTCTTCAACTATGGACCTGAAAAATGCTCATCTTGCTGAGCTGTTAGTGAAATCCTCAAGCTTGGTGCTTCCTCCATCCTAGATGCCATGCACATCAGTGGTTCAGCCTTTCACCCTGGCTTTCTGTACAAAAGGAGAAAAGGCTGGATTGTATCATACATTTCTCTACATTTTTCCAACTAAGGAGACAAATATCAGATAAAGTGGTTAGAACTAAAGTACTTATCTTCAACCAAATCACACCTGAGCAGATGCTCAGTCAAACTAGAAAGATGAATTTCTGTTTTCCCCATGTGTACTTAGCTAATAGATGTTTCAGTCCAAAGATATTTAAAAAAAAGAATCCTTCTAAATGTATATGAGACATGGTATAGGGCAAGCTTTTAGCATCACTGAGCTCAATGCTACTTTGCTGATCAGCCTGGACAGTAGGAAATGCATGCAGAAAAAGTTAAGGTTCTGAGATTGCTTTTCTTGTTTTATTCTGTCTCAGGAGACAGAGACCAATTCACCTGAGTTTTGACATTGATGCTTTTGATCCCTCACTGGCTCCAGCAACGGGGACTCCTGTTCTAGGTGGATTAACTTACAGAGAAGGCATGTACATCACAGAGGAAATACACAACACAGGTAGGAGCTGACCAGCAGTATGGGGCTAAGCAAGGACAGGACAAGATACATAGAGCTCATATTGGTTGTTTTTCCTGCATAACTACATAAGATAAATGTAGTCAAAGCAAAGGTGCCTGTAAAGTCAATTCAGCCTTTAGTAAGGGCAAAAGTAGTCCTATGGTTGGGCAATACCCTTGGTGTTGGAAGCAGCTTAACCATCAACAACTTCAACTTACGAAAAGGAAATAAAATACACAATATATTAACAACTAATGTCAGAAATGTGTAATACTGTCCCCTAATCCTAAAGACATGAGGTAAGATGTAAAAAGGGGGATCGAGAATAAAAAAATGGGTGCAAACAATTTTAAACAGTCTGAAGTTCCATTCTAGGATTCAAGGCTAGCAAATCAAGCTTTCACAAAATATACTGCAGTTGACTCGATATATGAGGACTTTTCATCTTATGCCATGGAGGTTTTATTTAATGTGTTTAAACAATGTTATTTGTAGTGAAAGAAGGAAATAAAAATCACAACCAGACACTAGAGTCAATAGAATCATGAATAGGATGGCAAAAGAATACTAGGTGAGATCTCTTTTTATATCCCCTCATTTTTTGACTGGGAGAAAACAAAATTAAAAAACATTCCTCTCATAAATGTGTATGGAACATCAAACTTAGTTTTTCTGAATGCTAAAAGCATGAATGGATGAGGTAGTGGTGATGTAAGAAAGAACCAAGTTCAAAAACAAACTGGCATCTGAGAACAATCCCTCACTTGAGAGCCAGTCTGACTTGTCCAAAGGGTAGAGTAGGTCACAAGCCCAAATACCAGACTTGCTGCAATGAATAAAGGCTAGTAAAGAGACCTTGCAGGATGTTGTACCCTTTGTCAGAGTAACAAAGCTGTGAATCACTTTCACAGGAATGCTTTCAGCTGTAGACATGGTTGAAGTCAATCCATTGCTTGGAGCTTCTCAAGAAGCAGTGAATGCAACTGCTAGTCTTGCAGTTGATGTGATAGCATCGTGCTTTGGGCAGACAAGAGAAGGAGCACACACCGCTTTTGATGGACTCCCAACACCCAGTTCTCCAGATGAATCTGACAGTGAAGAGCAAGTGAGGATTTAAGAACCCAAAGCAGTGGGTATATTGGACATTGCAGAGCTCGGCTGAGGCACTTCAGTGGATAGATTGTCAACACTTGGCAAATACTGTTAACTTCTCAATTTTTAAATAAACTAGCTTTTCCATTGATTGGTGGCTACTTTATTACATACCAAAATTTATTCATTCAGTTAAGTATATACAAAATGAGACAATAAAATATTTATTACCTTCTTATTAATCTTACCGGTAGTTCAAGTCTGTCTCTGCATTTTCCTTTTACTCCCATTCTCTGTCTTTTTAGTGTCAGTACAGTTTCAGGTGAATGTGCTGTCTCACCACTCAGTTCAATCCTCAGACAATCAAAGGGAACAGACAGCCCATCCTGTTCCTCAACAGTGGAAAAGTTCATCTCCATCATGAAGATTCATCTGCTGCGGAAGAATCTGTAGTAGACCACACCTCCTAGGATGGCCAGTTCCAGGATGATGATAATTGACAGCAACAACTTATTAGTGGTTACTCTAGAATTAAAAAATAATTTAAAAAAAATCAATAAAAATCCAAGATAGCTTCCCCCCCCCCTTGTTTATGAAAGTAGATTCTAGATCTAGATCACCATCTTACATTCTGTAAGTATACTCCCTGTTTCAGCTAGACCCCACAGTGCTTTTCAAATAGCTCTTAACAAGCAGAAGGGAACAAAGAGCAATTTACTACTCATGTTTTCCTGGAAATTGTTTAAATCTTCTATTTCAACAGTAGCAGTTCTGTCCCTCTTCCCCTGCCCCACAAAAGATAGATAACTGCTCTGTCTGTGCCTACTCATTCAATTAAGCAAAGAGGAAAACAACAATTGAAGTCTTTAATGTCACTTAAATGCTAAATCCTTTAATGTTACATAAAGTCACTTAAATGCTAAAACTCTCATTGTGGTGCTTTTCCCTGGAACTATGTGGTTGAAATAAAACTAAAATATCAAAATAATAATGTACTTTTACTATTGAAAATTATACAGTTATCGTAACTTCCTTCAGCAATGGCTGTAAAGGAAAGCTTGTTAGGGGATAAGTACCTACTGGAAATACAATCCATGAACTGGTTTGTAAGGCCAACTAAACAATATAGTTAAGAAACTGCAAATCCATTTAAGCATCCAAGGCTTTAGTCATCAAAATAGTATATGATGAGACTCAGAGTGTCTCATAGGATAGCCTAGTTACTCTAGGGCAGTGCTGTGGCCTAAACAGATTTGTCTGTGTCATCAGACATCTAACTCGCTTAATGCTGCAGTGATTTATGGCACGATTTTTCCAACCTGAATAAGGAGTTGCACCTAAAGTCACCATTAGCAATTCACTGTAACTTGCTTGTGTCCTCACCACAGTTTGGATGGTTAAAGATTTCACATTATCCTGACTGAGTAGCATAATTCGGTAGCGTTCAAGTGCCTGTAAGTAACTACCAGGGAGGAAAACACACAAATTAGCATCTGCATGTGGGCACACATATTTACACATTCCCTAAAACCTCCCTGTGGTTCCAGCTGACACTTAGACTTACTTTTTTCCCTCTAAAACCAGCAGGCAATAATGCTCCATGCGGCTGTCAGCCATGCTACTCACCTCCGGGACATCGAACGTAGAATCTTGCGACTCTTGCTCAAGTTCTCACTTGTATTCACCAACTAAGAAGAGACAGAAGTTACTTGAACAGGACAGAAATCAGCTGAACAAACACACACCACCTCTATAAAAATGCACCTGAAAGCAGCTGGTGTTGAAATATTGCAATTAATAATGGGACCAAGGATAACCATATACTCCCAAAATTCTGAGACAACATTGCTTTCTACACACAATACCATCTGGAATCATTGCCTCTTTTCTAAGGAGGAAGTAAGACTTCTGTGTATACTTTTTGTGAGATACATACAAAGATATGCGACTTAGGACCTCTTTCTGCCCCTTTAGTTAATCTAGAAATATCAGAAATTAGCTCCTTTCATTAAATTTCATTTCATTATTGTAGTTGAAATATAAGAAAATTATACTGACATGTTCCCTCCCAGCGCATATCAAACGGCTTTGAAATGCCTTTCAATTTCTAGCAAAGAAAGAACTGTGTTGCATTGATAGGTCTAAGTGACCCAGTGGGTAGCAGCTCTAGCTACCCACTAGACGATCCATTTCAACTTTGTAATGCTCAGAAATTAACTGTATCCAGTCAGCTATTAAGAAGCATGTAATTAGGTGAGGTTATAGCCAACTAAAAAAGGTGTTGCCTCACAGACAGAGGCAGGATCCGTGATGTGTGGTCTCCAGGTAAGATTTCGCTATTCCACTTCCAAACCTAAGGAAGTGAAGGGTAAGCCAGGTCTTACATCACAGACACCTGCCTGCACAATTCCTCTGTGCTTTAAACTATTGCCCTCAACTGGAAAACTGGCCCTGTACGTATGTTACTTTGCACTGAGACGGACTGGATGAAGCTGGGAAGAAAGCTACCAAGTCCGTTCAGAGCTTAGTAGATTTCCAGTCTTCACTATGAAAGAACAAACAAGAAGAAAGTCTGCTTCCAGCTGAAACGTGTGGTTCACACAATCTAGCAACACATTGCCTAAAAGGGTCACAATACAAGTCACAGACACAGTTTAGTGATGAACGCAGCAGTGCTGGGTTAATGGCTGGACTTGATCTTTTCCAACCTAAACAATTCCATGCTTCTGTGAGCAATCTGTTGATAGACTGAGACGCCTGAAGGACAGTAATATTTTTTTATTAGAAAAAGGACAAAAACTACACCTACAAATCTTAGGATAAATTTCCTTTCCTGCTCTCCAACCCAAATCTGGGAACAGGACAAATCAAATTCTGACTGAAATGACAGATGAAAAAGCTACAGGCTTTGTTGAAATGAATAGAGAGAACTCCTAAGAAAAGAGGTATGCTTTTTGTTTTGGCTGAGTGTGCTTACTTGCCAAACTCAGCCACCCCCCTACAAGTCACTCACCTAAAAGCTTTACAGTCAGGATCCCTTGTACACACAAAAATTCCCATCAGCTTGTTACTTCAAAAGTCAAATATTCAGTTTTGCATATATGTGTAAACAAAACAAGTGAACTAGTTTTTGAAGCTTTCATAGTAGAAACAGAGTCTTGAACCAAGGATGAGAACAGGCATCTTGTCTGACACCACTTTCTCCCTCCCTACAAATATTGGAAGGATAGTAATTAAGTAATTATACTTCTACTAAATTTAATTTAATTACAAAAACTTGCTAAATTTGCTTCCTAGATCTAAACTTTTACTAGTAATCTAGTGGTGGGCAACTCCTCAGCAATTTTTTAATCTGTAATATTTTCAGTAATGCTATTTTTTTTTAGTTTATAGGTCTGATATCTAATCTTGTACAGGCACAGCAGCAGACATTTGACCACCGTGCTTTGGGCCCTTCTACAGTAATTATTTTCCTTTTAATGAGGACAGCACAGAAATGTGGCAGTCTGGATTTGGTTTGTAGAAACATCCCATTGGATTACTATGTCTAGGGGAGCGTCTCAGAGTAATTATTGGCATACAGTTCCCCCAAAACTACCATCAGGTTGTTTCAAAGCCATGCCAACAGTTTCCCTGCTTACTCTGCTCTTGGTACGTTCCAGCTGCTCCCGCTGCTCCCCAAGTTCTTCGATTATATCGGTGCCAATCTGATCTGTTTCAGCAGCAATCCGGTGCGAGCGCTCAATGCTCTGACTGGCTCGGTTCAGACTGTCTGTTCCCTGGAGAAGCAGCACCCTCTGTGACTGCAGATTAGTCTGAAAAATAATGTAAGATTAACTATTAAGCACAAAGACAGAAGTATTAGGCTTCTGACATATTAAAAAGTTAGGATGTGACTCCATAGGCCATTCATTTGTATTAGCTGTACATGCTTCTTATGTTAAATGATGTGGCCCAGTTAATTTTGACACAGCCTTGTCTACATGGTAAGATAATGGCCAAATCTGGTTAAATCTCAAAAAAGTATATGCTTCTAAAGAGTTAAAACAGTTACAAAAAACTGCCTTTGCAACAATTTACTTTTCCATCAAAGAACATTTACATGAAATTAGTATCTTTCTTTCCAGATGCTACCTTGTCCTTCCATTCATATCTTAAAGTCAGCCTTATTTGTGAATTCACAGTTGGTTGCCAGGGAGATCAGTAAGAGTTTACAGTCAAAAGGATTAGAAACAAACAGCACTAACAGATGGACTGCTAAGTAACAAAGATCTTTTCGTGCCAGTAGCCTGGGCTAGAGGATAAGGAATATTTGCTGACCTTGGGATCAAAAGGTAGCTCAAAATAAAGTACTTTCTTAAGCTTCAGAAAGCTACCACCTTGCTCTCAAGTTTTAGAGGATTCAGTCAAGAGGAATCAAATGCAAAAATTTACCAAGCTACCACAGAAGGAAATACCAAGGAAAAAGCCTCCCTCAAATCTTCCTTATCAAGGGCAGACAAACAAAGAGCCCACCTCCATGAACTTTCTGTACAGATCACAGCACTTTGAAAATAATGAGGAGATTCAGTCTCGCTAGCTCAGATATCTCTATGCATATCTGGTAAACAAAGAAACTGGTATATTTCTTGCACTGTAGCAGCAAAACCACAGTGAACAGAGCGCTACGAGGGTCAAGAGTTCTTATATTTTCTTAAAATTACTTACACTGAGATTGCTTAAAAGAGAATTTTACCAAAGAACCTATACAATGCATGATTCACACTTTGATAGTTTTGGAGACTAAAACTAGGTAAGTTAACCTTTTTTTTCAGTCAGTAGCATCACTTTTATGTTTTCATTTCTGTAGGGGATGATTAAATGAAGCGTTTCAGTACAGAATGTTGTGCAAGTTATTAACTGCATGGCTTTCAGGGAGTTTAATTTTGATTATACTCCTATCTTTGTTTTAGAACAGCAAAACTCTCCTCTGAGTTCCAGGTGTTCTTTCTCCTGCCTGAGATATTCATGTTACACGCAGAGAGATATACAGGGAGTTATAAAAGCACAGAAGTGGTTTAAAGTAGAAAAACTGTAAACAATACATCTGCAATATTGTTTTTAAACAATCACAGCAAAGTTAAATAAAATTTACATCTAATCCTCACACTTTGTTCATTTTCTGTGGAGAAGATTCCATATTTTATATCGCCTTGACTTCCGTGGCCCACTCCCAAATCTGTGCTTCTCATCTCTCTCTGGAACATGGACAGGTCTCTTCTGTATGCTCGGATTTTGCTCATCATTTGGTTGCGGAAAGGCAGGGGAGCATACTTCAGTTCTTCCTCCATTTCACGCAGCTTTAACAAAAGAAAGTATGTTTATTTTTTAAAGCACCAAATCTATTCTCAGCAGCAGCTATACTCAAAACTCACCATCAGATGAAGGGATTCATATGTTTTTATTGGACTGGGTGAGGGGGATTAACCTGAAACCCTATACCTCTATCTAGTAACAAGGACAACAACGCTGTTCGGCCCACATGGATTTTCAGACACGCAACGCTTCAAGAAAAAAAAAGTTGCCAAGCTTAAGTGCTTGAATTTTTTTCCCTGAAACATCACTTTAAACTTCAAAATTTGCAGTTCTCTCTTTCTTATACTTCAAGCATTTATACAATGTGGGATCAAGCTCAGCCAGATGCACCTGGATTCAGTTGATTAGAACCAAAAGGGACTATTTTGGCTTTGGAGCTGAGATGAAGTGTGTGAATCAAAACACTGAGTTTGCAAAAAGTCCTGGGAATTCTAGTTAACTGAATGGCAACACCAGGTGCTGTTTACTTGAAGAGGTTAATAAAGAGGGAATGCAGAGAGGGCTCTGCAGAGAATCCTGAAAACCAAATAATGGTGTGCACAGCCTCATTTCTTCAGTGCCCATAATACAACGGGTATCAGCTTTGTATCACATCTGTGCCACACAGATAGAATCACAGAATGGTTTTCGTTGGAAGGGACCTTAAAGATCATTTAGTTCCAAACCCCACGCCATGGGCAGGTTGCTCAGAGCCCCATCCAAACTGGCCTTGAACACTTCCAGGGATGGGGCATCCACCACTTCTCTGGGCAACCTGTTCCAGTGCCTCATTACCCTCCAAGTAAAAAATTTCTTCCTAATATCAAATCTAAACCTACTCTCTGTCAGTTTAAAGTCACTACCCCTTGTCCTATCACTACATGCTCTTGTAAAAAGTCTCTTTCCAGCTCTCTTGTAGTCCCCTTTAGGTACTGAAAGGCTGCAATAAGGCCATCCCAGAGCCTCCTCTTCTCCAGGCTGAACAATCCCAATTCTCTCAGTCCTTCCTCATAGCAGAGATGCTCCATCCCTCTAATCACCTTTATGGCACTCTTCTGGACTCATTCCAACAGGTCGATGTCCTTCCTGTGTTGGGGACCCCATATCTGGATGCAGAATTCCAGGTGGGGTCTCACAAGGGTAGAGTGGAGGGGGAGAATCCCCTCCCTCACCCTGCTGGCCACGCTGCTTTTGATGCAGCCCAGGATACAACTCACTTTCTGGGCTGCAAGTGCACGTTGTCAGCTCATGTCCAGCCTCTCATCTCCCAGCACTCGCAAGTCCTTTCTGGCAGGGCTGCTCTCCATCTGTTCATCTCCCAGCCTGTACTGATACCAGGGGTTGCTCCAACCCAGCGGCAGCACCTTCCATGTGGTCATATTAAACCTCATGAGATTCTCACAGGCCCACTTCTCAAGTTTGTCCAGGTCCCTCTGGATGGCATCCTGTCCTTCAAGTGTGTCAAGTGCACCACTCATCTTGGTGTTTGCGAATCTGCTGAGGGTGCACTTGATCCCACTGTCTATGTCTTTAATGAAGACTGGTCCCAGTATGGACCCCTGAGGGACACCACTTGTCCCTGATGTCCATCGGGACTCTGAGCCGTTGACCACTACCCTCTGAATATGACCATCCAACCAATTCCTTATCCACCTACAGTCTGCCCATCAAATCCATTTCTCTCCCATTTAGAGAGAAGGATGTAGTGGGGGACCATGTCAAAGGCTTTACAGAAGTGCAGATAAATGACATCTGTAGCCCTTCCCTTGTCCACTGAGGGAATCACTGCTCATAAGAAGACCAGTAGGTTGGTCAGGCAGGACTTACCCTTGGTGAAGCTGTACTGGCTGTTTCAAATCGTCTCCCTGTCCTCCATGTGCTTTAGCATAACTTCTAGGAAGATCTGTTCCATGACCTTCCCAGACACAGAGGTGAGGATGACAGGTCAGCAGTTCCCAGGGCCCTCTTTTCTACTTTTTAAAGATGGGTGCAATGTTTCCCCTTTTCCAGTCACCTGGCACTTCCCCTGACTGCCATGACTTTTTCAAACACATGGAGAGTGGCTTAGCACATCAGCCAATTCCCTCAGGACTCTAGGATGCATCTCATCAGGTCCCATAGACTTATGCACATTCAGGCTTCTTAGGTGGTCATGAACCTGGTCATGCCCTAAAGGAAGGACTTTGCTCCCCCAGTCCTCATCTTACAGTCCACTCACTCGAGAGGTGTGGGAAGATGAGGCTGCCATTGAAGACTGGGGTAAACAAGCTGTTGAGTACCTCAGCCTTCTCCTCATCTGGATCCATTGCACAGGTAGCCATGCCACTGAATTCACACTCGGAACATCCAAGTTTGGCAACTGGAGCTAGGATTTCCAAACCCTAAGATTTTGGATGCACGAATTTTCACATCAACTTCTAGTGACAGCTATAACAAATTCACAGTGCTTAAAGCTGTATGCCAACATGAGCTCTCTCATAGTATGAGCTCCACGACTCATACATCACCTACACAGATACCCATCAATAAACCCCAGAAGTTAGGGGAATAAAGCATCATGTTCAGCTGTGACTCAAAAGCAACCTAACAAATAGTACCTGAATATGAAAAGAAAGCTTAATCCATAATGTCTGGCTTAAAAAGACAAGTCACATGGTTGCTTTGGTGCTGTTCCACATCACCTGCTGTCCAGCAAGCATATACAATAGAGGTTTCAAATATTGAAGGTCCCTGATACTTAACTATCAGACTAGTTTAGAAAGATCAAATGGGCTAAAACCAACATTAGGGGGAAAAAAACCCCAAGCAGCAGATTCTCTACATGCTTGCCCTACAATCTCTAGCAACTTTAACTGCACCTCCATCATTCTCCTTTGTTCAACAAAGCAAAGGTGCTATCAAAACCAAGCACTCGAAAACCCCTCAAAATGCACATAAGAATATTTGTCATATTTATGTATCTATATAGTTACATACAACAGTCTTGATGAACACAGACACACCTATCAGAGCAATTAATCAAACATTAAAAAAATAAAACATCTGCCTGCCAGAATAGAACCCCAAAAAAATTAACATTTAGAGGTACTGTCCTTTTAAGGTCGCAGTATTTCCACTGTCAGGAAGGCCGGAAGCCCAGCCTTACACTTACCGTCTCATTGGCTTCGCGCTGTTTATCGTCAAATTCTCGAACCAGTTTTTTCTTCTCCTCTGTGAAAGAAAATGCAGTATATCAGATAAACTACAGAGAAATGACAACAGAACTCCAACTCAATCCATTAAAAACAAGGAAGCTGCTACAGGTAGCTGATTACAGAGACATCTAGTCAAAATTTAACTCAAACAGGAACAGCCTATTCTTATGATAACTTTTCAAAAGGGAGTGGGCAAGAGAGCAGAAACCACTCTTCCAAACGCTGGCCACTACCTCTGGTAGACAAAAGAAGTAATTTTCCAAACTTGAAATATTTTTCTGACCTACTGCCCCCAATGTCCACTGACAGAATTGCGTGTTGAAAAACAGTGTGGAAGAATAACAAACAGTACACATTAGTGAACAGCTCATAAATATTTATTATTTTTTGCAAGTATTTGGCAAGATTACTGAAGGCTGAAACTATAATTTGGATTTGAACAGAACATCAAGTCAATCTACATTTCCAAGTGAGCCCTGAAGTTCCTGGCAGACCCAGTACTCTGCATTCTCACGGTCATAAGGTACCTAAGTACATGAGGTAAGCATTCTAGAGTTCTCTGAGATAAAAGATGCCATCAAGATATCACCTCGGGTTCATGGATTAAAGCCTAAAGGCCTCCCTCTTCTGGAATGACATTAGTTGTTTGGATCAGCCAACAAAACTATACATTTTAGTTATTTCAGACAGTCATTTACTAAGATCCATGTACCTGGGCTTTGGAGACCAAAGAATGGGTTTCACTGCTGTTACTCTATTTTTAAACAAAACCTTAAGATCTGTATTTTTCATGTGTTAAAAATCTACCGTATCTCTCGAGCATCCACGATCAATGAAAGTATAAATCTGAAAATCCCCTTATCTCAATGGAGACAAAACAAGTTATGTAAGCTTTTGCAAAAAAATTGAAGATGAACACCAGACTGCTCTTGTAGAATACTGCAAATGAAACCAAATTTTATCAGGAGTCTGACAAATATCCACCTAGCTTAATTCATCTCTCTCAGAAGAGTATAATCAAGTCTTAAGTACAATTTTGGGTAGTAAAACATGTAGACTGTCATCTTGGTAAAACTCCTCTAATTTGATTAAAGGCAAAATGAAATACAACATTACAAAAACTTCATTGTGGTAAAAAAACTTATTTGATAATACCTTTTGGTAAACACAGTCCTCTGCAAAAGAAGGAGTTTTTAAACCACTGAGCTCTCAACAGAAAATAGGAAAAAATTTGAAGTGATCAGAACATGGTTATATAGCTCCCCTCACATACACAACACACCTCAGCTACAGGCTTTCCTTCTCAGTTCAAATTCATATTAAGCCCCAGAATTTGAACTGTAGAGAACTTAAGACAGAATTAAAAACCATCATCTAAGCAGAAGTTATGCTCTCACTTACTACAAGGAATTATTATAGACTAAGCTACATCAGGACATCAACTGGTATCAGGAAATACAGTTTCACATCCTAGTTTATTCAGGAAGAAATGCTGACTTATAAGGTTCCTAAATACACTCCCTTCAACTTCTTCCATATGCAATTGTGCTGATGCCCTTGTTTGTGTAGCTGGGTTGCAAGCGAAATCATGAAGTGCAGACAAACAGCCTTCAAAAGTCAATAATTTGTTTCATATAGGTCATTTCACTAATCCAATTTAAGCAGTGCCCTCTTAAACCCACTGCTGCCTCAAACTCGTGGAAACCCGGCGCAGAACTGCAAAAGCTGCATTTCCTTGCTTCGTGTCCCCCGCACGGACCAAGAAGATGCTGCACTTATAAACATGCAGTCAAAGAAATGCCAGCTTCCAAAAGGGATAGCATCACCGAGTGGTTTAGGTAAGCCAAGCAGCAACAGCTCGAAACTTTTCGTTTATAAGCCAACAAGAAATCTGGCAATGTAGCTTGAAAGCGTTCTGCTGGATCTGTCCAGAGCACAGAAATGCTGGAACACACTGAATGGTTCAGTTCCCATCCCTCTGGATTGAACTGTGACTCAAAGTGCACAGCCAGATGCAGCAAAAGTACCCACTCCACAGCAGTGCTACCCACATGCTCATCAGCATTCACCTGATTTATTTCCAATCAGTTAGAAACAGATTCAGTTGTAAAGTACAGCGAACTGAAATAATTTAGAGGAAAATATCTGTATTTGAAATGATTCAGGCTATTCAAAATGCTTCTTACAAATTTAGAAGAAAAAAAAAAAGTGTTTCTACAGTTAGGAATTTGTCATCTTGTTTATATAGAGCGAAACAGCATTTCCAAACCTTTGGTCCTCAAAGACATCCCAAGGACTACAGATTCTGTCTTCCCTCAAGTTTTGGACTGTGTCAATCATCTTAAAAGAGTATTCCAAGCTACCTTTTATTATCTCCTGAATATTTCAGGATCAGATAACTCAAAAAATAAAGATATACTTCCCTTCCCATAAGTAAAAGAAGCAAACTAAACTCATTAGGAGAGTGGAATGTCTACACCAGACATATTCCTCATTTATCTTAAACTCTCCTAGAAACACTTTCAAAAAATATTATCAGGATTTTTTCAGGAACAAATTTAAAGAGCAGAACAGTCATAGTAAAATTCCTTAGCATGTCTAAAAGTTCTATTGGGGAAAAAAAACTACAAAAAAAGCATTACAAAATCTGTTGCCTGTAAATACTGCACTTAAGCCAATGGCTCAGAATTCATTGCTCAAGACTACCCCAGTTCCAAGGAGACAAAGTTTTATTTCACCAAGAAACTGACCATTCCCTGTTCTACAGGGAAATACTGATTTCTACCAGAAGGGGTATTTCTTCTCTTATGCTTTTTATCCTGGTGAAATTAAGTCAGTTTTGAAATTATTTGCAGGTTTGAACACCTTCCTTGCACCAAACTTTCTGGAAATGCTGATGACAAGGACTGTGACCCTGAATTTAACTCATTAAATAGAAAGCCAGGTAAGAAACAGGATATTAAGCTTTTCATAGCCTGTGTTATCTAGCACAGCCTGGTATATTCTGGATAACCATTTTTATGATTTTACACAAAATTCCTCAATTGTGGGAGAATGAGATGAGAGAGCAGAGCATGGATGACAGCCCCTACCCATTGCTGGGGTACAAAACCCGAGCTGAGCTACAGCAGCTTATGACAGCCATGTATCATGTTTCTCATAAGAAGAGTTTAACCAGAGGCATTCAGTCACATTGGTAAAATTCCCCTTGTCAGATCACTTCCCCTTCCGGTTCTCAGAACACTGCAAATATCAAGAACTGAATCAGAAGCACAAAGCCTTACAGAGAAGTATTCTGCCACTGGTGTGATATAAAGAGTACCCATAAAATCAGGTTGTGCTCCAATACCACTTTGAGTGGCTAGATACATAGATTTTTTCTATTTTGTGGATAGGAAGTGCACAAACCAGACTTTTAAAAGAGTAATTTAAAACGTAAACCTTCTTCAGTAAAGAAATTCCCTACAGATGCTTGTGGGCACTTGTGATAGTAAAAACTAATTTTAATTCTGTCAATGAGCTTTTAAACACAAGCCAAACACACAACACACACACATACACACACACACACACAAAGGAAAAAAATCCAAAACCAAAACCCCAAGGGCACTGCAGTTGTTTCAGAACCAATTAGGTTGGAAAAGACCTCTGAGATCATTGAGTCCAACCTATGAGTGAACACCACCATGGCAACTAGATCCAGTGCCACATCCAGTCTTTCCTTAAACACCTCTAAGAACAGTGACTCCACCACCTCCCTGGGCAGTCCATTCCAATATCTAATCACCCTTTCTGTGAAGAAAGTATTCCTGATGTCCAACCTGAACCTCCCCTGGCACAGCTTGAGGCCAGGTCCTCTTGTCCTGCCGCTTGTTACCCGGTGGAAGAGACCAACCCCCACTTGGCCACAGCCTCCTTTCAGATAGTTGTAGAGAGTGAGAAGGTTATGCCTGAGCCTCCTCTTCTCCATGTTAAACAACTCCAGTTCAACTAGAAACAGCACAACACAACATCCAAATAACACCATCTCCTCAGAGGCGATGCTTCGAGCCCAGCACGGCTGCGCTTGGCTCTGGGGTTGAAATTTGCCAGCCCAGAGGAGCTGCTCCAGGACAGTAAAGCCACACACCTGCAAAGCCACCAGGACACGGCAGCAGCTGAAAACAACACACGACAAGGCCAAACCTGGCACGACCACCCGCCCCCTCCAAGCAAGTGCTACCCAAAGCGAAGTCCCTGCAATTGCAAATCTCCCCGTACACAGGGTGTCTCCGAGGGACTTTGCGCCCCCGGCTACACAGACACGTCTGTCTGACAAGCAGCACCCGAACGACCCCGACACGGCCCCGCAGCCGGCGAGGCCGCCCCGGTCGGAGGGACGGCGGCCCCGGCGACAGGGACCGGGGCGGCCATGTCAAGGGAGCGGCCGAGCCCCGCTCCCGGGGCAGCCCCGCCCGTGCCCTCGCTCCGGCGCCGTGGGACGGCCGCCCCCCCCCACCGCCTCACCGGCCGCGCTGCCCCGCAGCCGCTCGGGGACACCCCTCAGGTCTCCGTGCAGCCCGCGGAAGATCTCATGAAGCCGCTCCAGGTGCTCCGAGGAGCCCGCCCCGCGGCCCGCCATAGCCCCGCTGCCCCGGACGCTCCCGTCCCGTCCCCCGCCCCGCCCGGCGCTTCCGGCGCCGGGGGCGCCCCGCGCTGCCTGCCGGGAGCTGCAGTCCCGGGGGGAGTGCCCGCCCCGCGCGGGGGCGCTTCTGCGCCGCCAACACCGCACCGGGAGCCGGCACCGGGAGCCGGCACCGGGAGCCGGCACCGGGAGCCGGCACCGGGAGCCGGCACCGGGAGCCGGCACCGGGAGCCGGCACCGGGAGCCGGCACCGCCCTGCTGCTCCCGGGCCTCGGCCCTACCCGCGTGGGCATCACTGCTTGCGCTCTGCGAGGGGGAATAACAGAAACCTCGGCGGGGGGTGTGAAAAAGGTGTTCCGAGCGCCGCTGCCGACAGCCGCCGCTGCTCTGCCTCTGCAGACACTTCGCGGCTTAGTAATTGCGGAGTGCGAGTATGACTGCGGCTTCAGGATGAACACAGGGACGTGGGTCGGAGCCGTGCTCTGCCCGGGGTAAAGAGCAGCGAACTGCTGGTGTGAAGCCGGCCAGCCTCCCGCTACGCGCGGGTACTCCCGGCGGGGACACTCCTGCAGCGGGGAGCGCGACCCGCAGAGCGTCCGGCACCGGAGACCCCGGGAAAATCTGCTGCGGCTGGCTTTCTCAGGAGCGCTCCGCGTGCCGCGAGGGGCGTCTCCCGAGGTGTCGTGGGCGTGTCCCGAGGTGGCGCTGGCGTGTCCCGGGCGGGCGGTGCCGGGCGGGGCGGGGCGGGGCGGGGCAGGGCGGTGGTGTGGTAGCGGAGCGCCGGGTCCCGGCAGAGCGCGGGTAGCGGCGGCAGCAATGCTCAACTGCTGGGGAGCTGCACTGGGCGCCGCCGTCTCCGTCCCCGTCCTCCTTTTCGTGGCAGCGCCCTACATCAGGTGCGTCTTACCGAGCGCGGCCTCGACTCTTCGCGCGCGCTCGGCCCCGCGGAGCGGCGGCGGGTGCTGAGGGGCGCGGAGGCGGCGCGCGTCGCGTCTGAGGGCGGCCGGGTGTGCCCGCCCGTGTGAGTCTGTGTGCGTGCGTGTGCGCGTGGTGGGAGTGCGAACACCGGGAATCCCGTTCTCCAGCCCGCGCTGCGCTCAGGAATCATTCAGGCTTCCCCAGCTTCGGTGCTCCGGTGCCACTGACGCGCTCACGGCAGGAGCTGGAATGCTCGGGGGACGGGGCTCAGCCCTGGCAGCCAGCCCGCCTCCCCCCCCGCCCGGCGCTCCCCTGGGTCTGTCCCGGCCCCGCACCGGCGGCGCTCGCGGAGGGGCGGCGGGGGGCGGGGCCCGCGTTCTCCTTAGGGCGCGGCGGCGCAGCCCATTGGACAAAAGGCCCGGAGCGCGCGGCCGCAGCCAATGGGAGCCGTGGCCCCACTTGACGCACGGGCGGGACCGGGGGCGGGGCCTGGCTCTTCAAAGCGGGAGGCTCGGGGCGCGCTCCCGATGCCCCGGTCGCGACACGGCCGTGACCGGCCTCCCCGGGTGACGACGCCCATGAACCCCACGGGGCCCTGAGCGCAGCGGTGAGCCCCAGTGTTGGGGCGAACGCCGCGGTTCTGGGCGCTTAGCCCCGTCCCTAGCCACCTAAGGAGGTTGAGGTGACAGGTGCCGTCCCCTCTTGCAGGAGGTATGTCGCTGGAGAACGGTGTAAGTCGACAGCAAAGATGGAGGGGAAGGTGGTGATAATCACAGGAGCCAACACAGGCATCGGGAAGGAGACTGCCAGAGACCTCGCACGGAGAGGCAAGTCACAGTTCATCAGCAGGCATCCCTGTGCAGCTGGAGTGGCCGTGCCTGTGTGTCAGTAGTCCCTTTTTTGGACCTAAGGGAGGAGTGTTTCATGCTTACATTGAAGTCAATTTGATTCCAGAGTTATTGCAGATGAGCCCAAGTGTTGGTCTTCCAGAGGCTATAACTACTGAGGTGCAAGTCCCCAGTTCCTCAACTGGTTTCATTGCTTGAACTCCAAAAATGTGCCTTGGGTACATTGAAATGCTCTGCACTGCAACTGGTTTGACAGGACTGGGGAAGTTCCTAGTTATCACTGGGTTCTGCTTGTATGAAGCTGGGAAATGCTGTAGGTCCACTGCTATATGCTTTACTTATTCATGTTTCAAGCTAATTTGTTTTTTTGGGTAACTGATAAGAAGATTAAACTACCTGTTCACAATCCGTTTAGAAATTACGCTGGTATCCAAGTACCTCTATGTGCCCCTGATTTGACATTCTCATACCAGTCTTGTGGTACATACTCCTGACCTGGAAGAACCTGGACAGAGGCACTTCAGATGTTTCTTCTTGGTCTGAAAGCATCCTTTGGTTGAATCGTAGCTTACAATATAGTAGGAAAGGCTTTGTCCCTTCCAGCTGCTCCCCTGACTGATGCCAGTTCCCCAAAGAAAAAATATATTGTTCGTAATGCTGTGCATAGTCAGCCTGCTTGTTGTAGCCTTGATCATCCAGTGTGCTCCAGTGGTCTGTTTCTGTTCTTGTCGTTCTCCCCTCCCCTCCTTGCAGGTGCAAGGGTGATCATTGCTTGCAGAGACATTGCAAAGGCAGAAGCTGCAGCCAGTGAAATCCGAGCTGAGACAGGGAACCAGCAAGTCATTGTGAAAAAGCTGGACTTGGCTGATACAAAGTCCATCCGGGAGTTTGCTGAGAAATTTCTAGCAGGTACAGTCTCTAGATCATTCTTTTCAGTGAAAATATTTTACCAAGGACTGCCATCTGCTCTTCTAGCCAATGCTAAATCCCTGCCCTGTGTATCTCTGTACCATGCTGGGTACTGTGGTTCCCAGCAGGGGCAGGTCAGAGGCCATGAGCTAGTTTGTGGTAGGAGACTTATCCGATTTTTTTTTTTTATGGCGATGTGGCTGCAACTCAGACAGCAAGACATTTTTTGGCTGACTTGTCTGTCGTCATACTCTGTTTCCTTGATTAAGGATGTCTGTTGTTTCTTGCAGAGGAGAAGGAACTCCATATTCTCATTAATAATGCTGGGGTAATGTTATGCCCTTATTCCAAGACTGCTGATGGCTTTGAGATGCATATGGGAGTCAATCATCTTGGTAAGGCCAGTGGAATCATGTTTGTACTCAATATAGAATCACAGAATAGTTTGGGTTGGAAAGGACCTAAAAGATTGTCATCTTTCAACACCAATTTCTGTGGCGAAATTCCAAAGGAAAATCCTGCTTTCAGATTTTCTCATTCTTCCTTCTTGGGGAAGGATGGAAGGCCAGAGTTAGAGTTCTGGAGATGCAACGTGGTGTATTTGCTTATCATGGATCCATTTTAAGTATCTGTACATGTTACTTGGGACATTTTGAAATGTATGACAACTCCAACTTTTTGAAGATGAGGAGCAGAACTTGAAGGCCCCAAAAAAGTTTAGCTGTTAATTCCAGGGGGTTTTGTTTTTCCTGGTCTTGAAGTGAGGGCAGCAGTAAGATACAACATATAAGCAAGCAGGGAGACCCTTCAGAGGATGACCTTTCATCTCACCCTTAGGTCATTTTCTCTTGACTTTCCTCCTGCTGGAGCGTCTGAAGCAGTCTGCCCCAGCCCGCATAGTGAACGTGTCCTCGCTGGCTCATCACGGAGGCCGAATCCGCTTCCATGATCTCCATGGTGAGAAGAGCTACAACCGTGGCCTCGCCTACTGTCACAGCAAATTGGCTAATGTGCTCTTCACCCGGGAGCTGGCGAGGCGGCTGCAAGGCAAGTTCCAGAGCCAAGTGGAGTGTTTTTCTGCTTGGGTTTTTGTGCACTGTGGATGGGGAGAGTGGACTGAAGAGAGGTCTGGAAATCAACTATGCAGAAATTGACTGGTTTGAGGCAGGTGTCACTGAGAGCTTTTTGCAGGAAGAAGGTATCTCCTGTCTGTGGAACCAGGAGACTTAGAACACTGCTTGTCTTTACAACAACAGGACAGAAGAGTTTAGTAGCTTGGCACAGTTGAATGTATCTCCTTTTTCTTTGGTGCTTGTCAAAAACTAGCTGCATCCACGCAGACAGTTGTGGTATGTGAGTGGAAGCTGAAAACAGAACTACAACTGCAGTCTCCAAATAGAAAAGCTAATGCACACTCAGTTGCCTTAAATGTTGGTGGGTGGTAGAACAAGCATAAGACTAGACAGTACCTCTTAAGTCACAGCATCTGTCACAGTCATGTCATTCACTCATCAACTTAAGTAGTATTTATTTACTAAAACAGAAGCAGTGTCTTCCCTAGGAAATTACTATTAGAGTAAATCAAAAGAAACAGGTGTTCTCGAAAGCCTGATGGAAACTGCTCCAGTGTCACAGATGAGTGATTTAGAACGCTTAAAGAATCACCATCAAGGTATTAGCAAAAGTGGTTTTAACATGATGTCATAAAAGTATGACCTAACAGAGTTCGATGGCAAGGTTCACTCTATTACTCACTACGTGGAAGAAATTTATTAAGAAAAGTTGAGTTAGAATGATTCACACAGGTCTAGAAACATAAAGGGTAAGGAAGACCCTCCTGTTGAGTCATGAAGTTCAGATTGGACCCCCTGGCTTTCTAAACTCCTTAGGGAGCCTAGATGCGGCTAGGTCCAGTCTTAGTCTCAGACTTGGACAATGATTCATGTCTAATGGAATTATTTATACAAAGTTTGTAGTAATTAATACTGAGTAGCTATATCGATTAGTAATGTTTCCTCAGTATTAATTCAGCATGCCATCAGTCACTTACTGAGGATCTGTTGCAAGCAAGGATCTCTCCGCCTGAGTAAGGAAGGCTTTCTTAGTCTCAGGTAAGGAACCTTGAGAGGCATCCATGCTCAAGGGGAGAGTCACCTGGTGTGCAGTCCAGTTGCAGTTTGGGCTCAGCTCCAGATGGGCTCATCCAAAGGTATGCTGTTGCGAAAAGGTCTCTGCCTTGAGGAGCAACCTTGAGAAGTGACTCAGCTCAAGGGGAGATCGTCACCATGCAGTCACACTGCCTGGTAGGGAGAGCTCAGAGAAGGCTCACTTTGGCTGTCATACTCATGGAATAAACTGGTTGGCTGGTAGTCAAACTGCATGATGCTCTTCCAAATTCCTGTGCACTGATGCTCACTGTCCTCTTTGTGGGTTTCCTAGAGAAGTTCTTGGCCCAGATAGGGCTCAGGCCTTTACCAAACTACTGCTGGTTTGGTTAAAAGGTCAAGTGTATCTGTGACATTCAGCAAGCAGTAACTACAGAGGACTTCACTTAGCTCTCTCTGTATCCAAGTCTGGACTCCTCCTTTAAGTTACAGAATATCTGCAGGTAGAATTGAAGAGTATATATATATCTTTTTAAAGACACTTTGATGCATATAGATTTGTCCTGAACTACTTTATTTTGCCATAGGCACTAAAGTCACAGCAAATGCTCTCCATCCTGGTTCTGTCTCTTCTGAGTTGGTCCGGCATTCATTTGTAATGACTTGGCTGTGGAAGATATTCTCCTTCTTCTTGAAGACACCTTGGGAAGGAGCTCAGACCAGTATCTACTGTGCAGTAGCTGAGGAACTAGACTCTGTGACAGGACAGTATTTCAGGTGGGTGCAAGCTGAAGAAGTGATACACTGTGGAAGGCTACCTTGTTGGCTGGGCAATATGAGAGTTACTCTCATTCTTCATTAAAAAGGGACTGGGTATGAGGCTGTCTGGTAAGACTGAGGGTGACAGATACTAGAATATTACCCCTGCCAGCTCTGTTGCAATTGTGTTAGAAAAAATCCCTGACCTGTGTAACACTTCATGCAATGCACTTTAGTGCCAGGAATATCAAAGTACAGGAATGGCTGTCACATTAAAGCTCAGAGCTTTAATCTGATCTGAGACTTGGGAAAAATCACTTTTCTGAAGAACTGTTTAGTTAATGAGGTCACTTGAGTCAATTCTGGAAAGACCACTTCGGTTCTCTTTGTGGTTTCACCCCACTGGAGCAGAAGGGACCTGTGCTCCCAGGTAGCTGTGAGGGCTGATGGAGCTGTAGAGCTAGGAGGTAAGATTTTCAGGTCTGGCATGTGACAAAATAATTTGATTCTCCAGCGTGACAGACCCACAAGCTGGCAGGGACTCCTGCTGGGATGCTTGTCACTCTATCCTGCAAACGGTCTTGTGTAGCTCCCACTACAAAACCTGTTATTTCTTGGCTACTTTGACTTACTCCAGGACCCTGCACAGTCATGGCTTTTCCCATCACCAAAGCTACAGCCTGGAGCAGTTCCAAATCATCATCATCCTAGATTTGAAGACTGCCATTTGAACAGATTCATGCAGATATGTCTGTCAGCTTCCCACTGGGTGTAGAGCACTGTAACAATCTCATTTTTTGGGAAATGAATGTGAAAATTTTTCTGTCTTCCCCTCACCCCCCTCCCATGGATGCCTTTGGAGCCTTTGTGTCTTTGCAGAGCTTTCCTCCTGTAATTCGTGACCAGATTAGTCTCTGTAATGACTTTGCCTGATCTTTATTTGGGAGTTTGTAGTATCTTAATCAGACTTGAACATATAAATAGATTTCTTAATCTTCCCTGAATGACTGTCCATCCCAGGATAAAAATGTAGCATTTTATGTGCTGGAGTACAGAAAACTGATGGATTTTAAACTCAGGAAAAAAGGGAGTTTTGGACTTGGTGGGAAATTAGTAGCTTCAACAGTAATTCACAATTAACATTGGACTAGCCTAAAATCATTTTCACTTTCCAGGCAATAGAGTATAAAGCACAAGTACAGACATTAGGAAAGGAATTTGCATGCTACAAGAAGACAGGTAGAGTACACCAGAGTCATTTCAGGAACATCAAAGATTGTGCACTTGTTCTAAAAACACTGGGCTGAATGGAAACCTTACAAGATGCCATTTCCTCTGTGCTCTGAAACTCCCACTTATTGCACAATCTAGCATTACAGATGAGAACACAGGATCTCTATTCCAGACAGAGTGCTGAGAAGAAAGGAGCCACAGTTCAGAGGATAATGGAAAAGGGGATAACCATGCATGGTTATTACAGTGTGGTTATTCTTGGGCATATCATGGGATGAATAGGATGGGATTAATAGCTTAGAATGAAGGGCTGTTTGAATGGCTTTTTTGTAGTGTTTGCTAGAAAAGGTGCCCTGAAGAAGCTTGGTTAGCCTTAATAGCCCATTTTAGTGGTATTAATGAGAATGTAAACTAAAGAGGTTTCTTTAAGGGTTAAAACAGCAGATAAAATTAGACTTGTTCTTGGTGCTTTTGGGAGAGATTTTTCCTTAAAAGCTTTCTCATGGTGGCTTAGCACCAACCCTTGCTCATTTGCTGTGTAGCTTCCCACTGTTCTTCAACTGGTCTTGAATTAAACTGATAGAAAGCAACTCCCTTATCTTAACACAGACATTTCAGTGTGCTAATGCAGATGGAGATCTTTGACTTAACAAATTAAAAGAGTGTTCCTCTTACAGTGATTGCCAGCCAGCATACATATCTCCACGTGGCCGGGATGACGAGACAGCAAGGAAGCTCTGGAGTGTGAGCTGTGAGCTCCTTGGCATCCAGTGGGACTGAGCAGCGCAGACCTCCTGTGTACCTGTGATGCTTCTCTGGGGAAGAGCACTGCAGAGAGACCTCAGGAGTAGAATGCTGTAGTTCAGCTGCCCCAATGATGGCTCCATGGGCACAACCTACTTTGAATTTCTGGAATACTACACTTAAGAATTGAGATTTGTAAGTAATCATTCCCTTTTCCTAGCTGGAGAATTAAAGCACTGATACAGGGAGCAACCTTTGCTTGGTATCTCTCACAGCAGCCCAAGGCTATTGTCCTCTGGCTTTAGAATAGAAAGGGAGGTTGGAGTCTTAGGTTTAGATTGTGAAGAAAAAAAAAATTACCTTAAATAAAGTTTGATTGTGGTTTTTTTCCTAACAGCAATAGTAAAAAGGTAGGACTCTAAACTTATTACCTAGGGTTATGTTCAGTTCCTACAGTTTGACTTGGCAGAGTGAAAGTACTCTAGGATATTAGATTTTCTGGCAAGTAAATGCAATACAAATGCTCTCAAGCACACAGAAACAGGTGTGGGCCTTTCTGTGCCAAGCAATAGGTAAAGTTTCTAAGTGGAATAATTTTTCTGTCTAAGTAGTTGGAGCCTAGCCACTGAGGTATCTTGGCCCTAAGTGCCCACTAATTGCAGTAAGTTCACTGAGGGCTGGGCATGAGAACTCAGGTCTCAGTGCAGGTGACTGGGAGGTTAAAAGTTGCAGGATTGTCAGAATTGTGCATGGCCAAATTATCTTATTAAAGAAATCAACATCTCTCCTGTGAAACACTGAGCAAAAGATGGTGTAAAAATTGTCACAGTAAACCCCCCAGCTGCACTTTAAAGGACTATAGAACCTAGAAAAGAGACCAAGTGAGTAAAAAATATCTAAACTATGTTAAAAAATATTAAACAACTTCAGCTGAGACTTGAGCTTTAAATGACACCAAACTGCCGAGCTAAATAGCTGAAGCAGGAGTTGGGACTATCTTGGTATTACGGTTGAGCCAACTACAGCACAGGAAGGTAAGACAAATCCTGCCATTTGTCTGCCCAGCAGTTACTGGCCTTGGCTGGCAGTCTGCCTGAGCAGGACCACACAGCTTGCACTTCCACAGGGCAGCTGGGTCAGTCCACATAGCAATGGGATTGCTCCCTTGGAACTCTAGTGCTACTTGGGTGCAAATTGCTAGAGTCTGATCCATAATCAGAGATTATTTCTGAAAGAGTTAAGCAGTCAGAGACCAAGTGCCACATCTCATTGGATTATCTTCTGCTTCTGAAAAAAAGTCTGGAAATTTTTGGACTTGCATATGAGCCTGTGACTCTGACCAACTGCCAGTTTTGGGAAACAAATGCTAATTCTAATTTTTTCTGTCTGGATGTTATCTATGCAGATCATTCCTGTGCTACCTCTGAGCAATACTAAATAAAGCTATTTTCCTTTTACAACAGGAGACCGTATCTTCTTTCGGAAATGTTGAATCAGTTTATTTGGTGTTGCTATTATCTGCACCTGCCTTACTAATGTAGAGAACTCAGTTCAGGTAACATTTCAGAGTCCATTTGTGTTCCTCCTTGTCACTCTACCTTTTTTCCCCTCCCTCTTTCCACTTCACCCTGATTATGAAGCTAAATCCACAACTACAATGCAGCAGTAGAATGCTACCTAGCATTGGAGACTAGGCTTGCTTTCTCTGTGCGATTCTCTGATCTTGAAAGTAGTTTTCAGGAGCAAGAGAAACCATTTTTTAAAGAGCAGAAAGTGTCTCTAGCGTGAAATATTTTTGCCCTTGCAGGTCAATTCTCTTTGCAAAGAAGTCTGACTGTAGATTTAACTTAAGACATATTAAATTACACATTTCCATAGAGAGACAACCACTCCTTTTGACCTTGAGCAAGTCATTTATACTTCTCAGCTTATCTGTAAAAAAATGAGGGAACTTGTGCTGGTTTAAGAGTTAACCAGCAGGGGAAATGAACTCAACCCTAAGGAGAGATTATAAGTCAGAATAACAATTTACTAAAATAATACAGTAAGTACAATCATACAAACAAACAATTGGTCTTAACCCACAAAACCCAAATGTATAACCCAGTACCCTGGGGCATGAACAACGTGGTGTTCCTTGGGCCCCGCTTGAGTCCAAAGTAAAGGGAGAGGGGAAGAAACTGCTGGTGGGAGAACTGTTGCAGTCTGGTCAAAAGTGGTGATTGCAGTGAGATGCTGGGAAAAAAGCTGTTGCAGTCTTTCTCTGGATCCCACAGAGTGGTTCAAAATGTTCCAAGACTCCAAGATTATATATCCCCCAGTTCAGGCAGGAATGTTCAGTGCTTCCCTCAGGGTGGGGAGTTCCACAAAGGGTGTGAGGACAAGAGCATCCTCCTATCTCACAGGCCTCTTAACACCTAGTTTAAAGCCTGAGGAGTCAGGCTCTATGGGCAGAGGGTGCGAATAGTCTGTTGACAACAGTTTCTGGGAAATGGCATGGAAGGCTATAGAATACACAGTTTTGGGTTACACCCATACCATGATGAACTGATCTCAGCTGTCCTAACTAGGACAGAACTAAAGCTCATTTAGCTGTGTCAAAGGGAAGCTTGTAAGGAAGAGTTAGATTAACTAGCAAAGCTCTCTGAAGAGGATTACTGAGTACACGTATGAGGCTGAGCTAGCTACCTAGCTGCTGGGAGGACTTCTAAAGATGTGATGTTCCAATTGATCTAAATGTTGAGGACACTGTAGCAGATTTGGCATGAAAGAAAAATTATCCCCCTTCTAATCATTTTGCTAAGCCTAGCCAAAAGCAAAATGCAGATCTAGAAAGAGACCCCCAGCTATGCTGAGAAAAAAATTAAACAGGAGATACATTAACAGTCACAATATTTTATTCTCTTTTATCACTGTAAACAAACCTTAGTCATTAACAGAGAAGTTCTTTTTAACTGGCAGTAGTCAATCCCTTTTTACTGACAAAAATTCAAACCCCCTTGATAATTCCACTACTCGTGACACAAGGCAGTTAGTCAGGATCAAAATTCCAGGTTCTGCTGGTATGAGAAAGATCCCTATGATTCTGGGTTAAGAACATCAAATTACAGCAAACACTATATAAAGTGCATCAGGTACAGTGCAAAGAGGTCAGGAAGAAAGGCAGGTACGGAACTGACAGGTCTGCACAGCAAACTCCACTCTCTGTGCTCTGTATAGCTGAAGGAACTCGAGCAGAAAAGAAGGTGTTAACCGAAATGCAGATCTGGATACCCACAAGCAGTAAAGCCTCCTCCCCATAATTAGAGATTTAAAAATGATTGAAGACATAGGTAGTGTCACGTTTTAGGATTAGCCTAACAGCTGTAAGCTGATGGAAAGCTGCGTCAGTCTGGCCAAGGAAACAAAAGCTCTCATTAGTACTGCTCACTAATGAGATAATGTAAATCTGTGGTCAAGGGATTCTGAAAGCTCCATGTGGTCATTTCTGACTGCTTTACTCAGACATTTCTAGCTCTGCTCTAGTGAGCAGAGTGCCTCCAAAGAGAGGTGTTTGTGTCAGTGGGGCACTGCTCTTGAAAAACCCTGAAGATGGACCATGGGTCCAATACCAGTGGAAGTCTGTTCTTTCATTACAGTGAGCTTGGGGTTAGTGCAAAACTCTTACTTGACAGTCTCCATTATTTTATGTAATAAAACTATTTACAATTCGGCTACACTTCAGAAAACCTGTCATTTCTTTTGAAGTAAACAACTTTTTAACAAAAAAGTGAATTAGTTTTCCTACTTCTGCTGAAATACATGTAAACAGTAAAGACAAACTGTTGTGGAACGCCATGTTTTGTTCTGGTTTTCCTTTTTTTGAAGGTCATACTACTGTCTACCACACTTCTGCCAATTTTTCACATCCCAATTACAGTTGCAGGGAAGCAGCTGCTTTTTTCAGCATCCCTCATTACACGGCCATTACACAAAGACTGCTGCTTTTTTCATAAAACTGATTAACCTAACACTTCCAGAGCAAAGCCTGTCTATACAGTAGGTCCAGTTTGGTGTTCTATTGTACTTAACAGGGACAGATTATCCTGGTAATAAATAAATAAATCCCTGTTTGACAGGGATAGAAGACCACCTGTTAAATTTTGCCACAGTTTGCTTTATCAAATATTCTCTGCTATACCTGATGAAAAACTGTGGAAGTTTACTGTCAACTAGTCAGTCATAAAGCTGCATGACAACAATTTTTTGGGTATTGCCATAGCAAAGAAAGAGGTACGTGATTTTTCAGATATTTTAAAGGCTTATTTTCCCTTTGTACTCCCCTTACAGCATATGCCCTTTATAGCTTCATTCATCTAGTAAGGGCTGAAGTGCCATATGTATGGCACACATCACACAGTGTGACTGGTAAGTACAAAACCTGCTATAAAGAATCAGTTCCTACCTTTTCAAACAAACTAAAGAAACTGGGTACATTGTACTAGTGAAGGGAATAATAAAAAAAAAAGTAGCAATGGTTTGTATAGAGGCTTAAAAAAATCTCTGAATTTTAGTCTTTGTAACCAAAGATCTCTCCGATCTTGAAAAATTTTACAGGAAACCCATAATCAGAAAGTTTATCCTCTAGGCTACACTGAGTTGATAAAATTTTTCTGTCCTCTCTACATGTTTTCTGGATTAAAAATAAAGCCCATATTATTAAGTTCAGTGCTTTTCAAAAAATATCAAACCCCCCCAAAAATTAAAAACTAACAAAAAACAAAAGCCAAAATCAGAAACAGAAAGAGAATTGTTCTCTCCATACACCTAAATCCTTGCTTGTTCAGTTTGAAACTGCCTCCCCCACCTCTGTCAGAAAAAGAGTCAAAAAACACCCTGAGGTAGTGACTGTGTCAAAATACAGGACTGGCACTTGTAATTTAGTTCCCTCCCCACCAAAGGCACATTAGCAGCATCCATTTCCCACCAGTATGAGTCAAGAGACTTCCATTTTACCAAGAAGTACTGAACCAGAAACCTTTGAGCTGTCTTGAAGCCTTCTCCTCCTGTATGATGGTGAATGTCAATCACTTATTACTTCCTGGTGCCCTGGGCAAGCCGATTTTTCATCTTGGGCTGGTGCACGGAGAGCCACTGGGCACAGATGGCCTTCACAACGTCGTCGCCGCTGCTCTCGGCCAGCTGCCGCACGTGCTGCACCAGCTGCACCGCTCTGCCCTTCTCCTGCCTCACCGAGACCAGATAGGCAGAGCGCAGCTTGTTACACATCACGTAGGCCTGGATCTGAAGCAGAAGAGGCAATCAGACCTTGGTTAGAAATCTGTAGTAAAGTAACTGGACAAGCCTAAGCGAGGGATTCATGGGAAATACCCAGTTCAAAGGTCTGTATTACAAGGTGGTAGTAGTACCATATTACCAAACAGAGCATGGCATGAAGCAAATCCCAATGAAAAAGGCAGACAGACAGCTGTATGTTATTACGTTTGTGTCTTCTAGAAATTCCTTTATTGTAAGACCTTGAAAATAGCATCACGAATCCTATCTTGTGCATTAATTTACCATATCCTCATAGCAAGGAGTCTAAACCTGTCATTTTCTTCCATTGCTGTTTCTAGAACAGCTCCCATCTTTCAGTGATAGATCTTACAGAAAGGCACAATTAAAAGCCCATTTGTAGCA